TAAAAAAGACTTATATACAGTGTTTCTAGAATGGATTGTGCACTCTATCTGAGCATCTTATAGTGTAATGCCAAGTAAAGTTCGATTCACTTAATAATGTTAACAGTAATTTCATGCTGTCAAAATAACTGTTGAGGCAAACTGAATTAATTTTTGAAATCTGCATTTCTCTAAGTATAGTAGTACAATTCTCTGGAAAGAAAGTATTGCAAATATGCATATATCAGAGAGAAGAATGACACTTATATTAGTAAAAATGGATTAAAATGCATTGTGTTGAGAAGAATTGCTTTCCAAAGTCCATATATATTAGGTAAATATTAATAAAATAATGTATTGAAGAAAATATATTGGAACAATTGCCTTCAAATGTGGCAGTACTGCTTATTCTCTAAAATGAGAAATGAATTTTTGTGTGCGTCCACTACTCCTATGAATAACAGTAATGATTTCATTGGTGTTTGGGGTAAGCAAGAAATAAATATGCTGCCTTTAATGATTAAATGTTAATCTTTAGGTCACAGGATTTCTCAAATTTCATGGCTCCATTTGCATGCACAACCTTGTTCAGGGTCTTGTTTGTTTTTATTGTGATTCTTTCCTTCCCAGATGTTTAAGGCCTTCAACAGAACCCCAATTTGAGAATTTCTATCATCATCATCATCGGAAACTATGCCAAAAGTTTGGATTTGAGTATAGTAACAACTATTGGGAACATCAGGTTGAGAAGGTTCTGGAGAATGAAAAAGTCAAGATCTTGTGGGACTTTAGAATTCAGATGGACAGGCATTTGGCCCACAACACACCTACATAACAATAGTTGAGAAGAAAAGGGTTTGGTTCATTGACATTGCAATACCTGGTGATGTACGAATTGTAGACACGCAGCAAGAAAAATCACAAAGTATCAGGACTTACAAATTGAAGTTGAGCGACTTTGGAAAAAGAAATCATGTGTTATCCCAATTGTAATTGGAGCCCTTGGAGCAACACCTAAAGGGCTGCCTCACTATTTGGAAATCCTGAATTTATCAGGCTTGAATACTCTGATTCTACAAAAAATCACCCTACTTGGAACAGCTTATATTCTCCAATGCTACCTGAACAGTTCCTAGGTCCTTGATTAGGACTCGAGCTGTTGAGCTACCAACCAGCCTCAAAGGCTGTGAATCTCACTAAAGAGTAAATAATGATGATGATGATAATAATGATAACAATGAATAATGAATAATAATGAATAATAATGATGATAATGATGATAATGAATAATAATGATAATGATAATGATGATGATAATGATAATAATAATGAATAATGATGAACAATGAATAATAAATAACTGAATAATAATAATAATAATGAATAATGAATAATAATGATGATGATGAATAATTAATAATAATAATAATAATATAACAATCATCATCATCATCATCATCATCATTACAAAGACCTACAAATAGAAATAGAAGGACTATGGCAAAGGCAAGCAAAGGTAGTACCAATAGTAATAAGCACCTTGGGTGCAGTCCCAAAACAACGGGAGCACCACTTGAACCACCATAGGCATTGACAAATTTGCCATCAGTCAATTGCAGAAGGCAGCTTTACTTGGAACAGCTTCCATCCTGCGGCAATATCTGTAACACCATCAAACATCCAGATTTGCCTATCCCAGGTCCTTGGTAAGGACTCGATAAGTAGACAAAAGTGCCAAACCCAGTCTGAACATCTGGCTGACTGTGCTAATAATAATAATAATAATAATAATAATAATAATAATAATAATAATAATAATAATAATAATAATAATAATAATAATAA